TCGGGCGACCCCAGATATGCTAGCGGGGAAGACGACTCCTGGGGTTCCAAGAAAAGCAAGTTTGACTGTGACTCCTTCCTGTGGCAGAACCCCGGGGAGCCCGGCCTCCAGGAGGCCCAAAAGCCCAGCGGCCTCCCGTCGGACGCCACGCCGCTCTTCCGGCAGCTCTTCCTCAAGTCCCAGGAGTCCCTGGTGAGCCACGAGCAGATGCAGGTGTTCCAGATGATTGCCAAGTCCCAGCGGATCTTCTCACAGCTCCCCGGGCCCGAGGGCAAGCAGGCCGCCCTGAAGCCGCTGCCGGGGCCCTGGCCGCAGCAGTCCCCGCCGCCAGCAGCCCCTGTTGACTCTCTGCACGCTGGCCCCGGAAACCCGGAGCCGGAGGGGTCCCCAGCCCGCAGGAGGAAAGCCACGCCTGCGTTCCCCAGAGAGGCCTCCCCAGGCGGCACCAGGCGGGAGGCGAAGGGAGGTCTGAAAACCGCCGCTGCTCCGCCGTCCCTCCCAGCGTCGTCACTGGACCCTCCCAGGAACCCAGACATCTCCTCTCTGGCCAAGCAGCTGAGATCCACGAAAGGGACCTTGGACCTGGGGGACATCATCTCCCCGGGGGGCCCACGGCAGACCCAGTCAGGTGGGGATGAGCCCCTCGGAGCCCCGCTCCCAGGGAAGCAGGCCCAGGCGGAGAATGGCGCGGCTCTGGGGGCCGCGAAAGGTGAAAAGAGCCAGGCCTGCGCCCGGGGCGGGGGCTACAGGCTCTTCTCGGGCAACCCCAGGTCCCAGCGCTTCTCCGGCTTCCGGAAGGAGAAGCTGAAAATGGATATGTGCTGTGCGGCTTCCCCGAGCCAGGTAGCCATGGCCTCCTTCTCGTCAGCCGGACCTCTGGCAGACCCCCCCCAGGACTCGAAGTCCAAGCTGACAATTTTCAACAGAATCCAGGTACCTGGGCCCTCCCTCACGGGGCGTGACCATGCTTGAGACGAGAGTCTCGTTGGTTCCTTGTTTCTGCGTCTACTGGTTGGCCAGCCATTGTGTTTAGTCTCAGGGAGCCCTCAGCCGCAGTTGCGCAGAGGCGGAAATGAAGGTTTGGAGAGACTGTGGGTCCTCCTGTCAACCCCCACCCCCGTTCAGTCTTCAGGGTTGTCCGAGATGCTTTCTTTCCTAGGCTTTCTCTCCTGGCTCCCTTTCTGCCTTTCACTTCCTTTTGGATTTGCCTCCTTAAATTGTTCAGAGGATGTAAAGGTAGAGTTCCCACCCCCATCAGTACTTCTGCGCCTAATGCCGGGTCTTCCCTGGTGGGAGTCACGGTCCCCACGCCGACCAGCACCTGCAGAGCAGACAGTCCTTGCAGGTGGCACCCACCAGGTCTGGGCGTGGAGAGGCCGGGAAAGCAGGAGAAGGCAGAGAGAGGGGGAGAGAGAGAATCCCATGCAGGCTCCGCACCATCAGCACAGAGCCCGACGCGGGGCTCGAACTCATGAACCCGTGAGGTCATGACCTGGGCCAAAATCAAGGGACAGATGCTCAACAGACTGAGCCGCCCAGGCGCTCCCAATTCACCATTTTAAAATACACCTTCCAGTAGTTTTCAGTATATTCTCCAGGTTGTGCGTCCGTTACCACTCTTTGCCAGAACCCTTTCATCATCCCCAAATCCCCCACACTCTCAGTTGTCACCCCCAATCTCCATCCCTCACGGCCCCTGGCAGGTATGAATCTGCCTTGTGTCTCTCTGGATTTGCCCGTTCTGGACATCTCGTACACTACGTGGCCTTCTGTGTCTGACTTCCTACGCTCAGTACGAGGTTTCAAGGTTCTTGGGTGTTACGGCGCATCCGTATTCCTTTTTATGGCCGAATAATGCTCCACTGAACGGATGTGTCACGTTGTGTTTATCCGTTCAGCAGCTGAGGGGCCTTCGGGTTGTTTCCGCTTCCTGGCCACTGTGAATAGTGCTGCCGTGAGCATTTGTGTGCAAGTTTCTGGGTGAACGTAGGTTTTCGCTGCCCTTGGGAGATACGTCGGTCCGCTTGGAATTTCTGGGTCAAGTGCTAACTCTGTGTCTAACCATCTGAGGAGCTGCCAGACTTTTCCCAAGCAGCCGCGCCATTCAGCCTCCCCACCCACGACGTCCCCACGTCCTCACCAACACTTTGCTGTCGTTTGTTGTTGTTTTTAATCGTGGCCGTGCTAGCGGGCGTGAAGTGGTCTCTTATCACGCTTTGGTGCGCACCTCCCTGTGGCCGACGATGCTGCGCACCTTTTCACGTGCTTGTTGGCCATTTGTAAATCCCCTTTGGTGAAGGGTCTTTCAGCCCCTTTATCCGTTTTTAAATTGGGCCATTCGCCTTTTCGTCCTCGGGCTGTACAAGAGTTCCTCGTGCATTATGAGTACGGGTCTCTTGTCAGGTACGTGACCTGCAGCGATACTTCTGCCATCCTCCGGGTGGTTTTTTCTCTGTCTTGATGGTCCTGTGAAGCACGGGCGTTCTAAGTTTTGATGAAGTCTGATGTGTCGATGGCTGGCTTTCGTTTTGGTGTCCCCCAAGACGTGTGCCTCCTCCACTGTCTCAAAGAATCACACCTATGCTTTCCTTTAGAAAAAAGAAAAGATTTTAGCGTTAAGTAATCTCTACACCCCGTGTGGGGCTCGAACCCACAACCCCAAGATCAGGAGCCACACGCTCCACTGACCGAGCCAGCCAGGCGCCCCACCGCCCCCCGCCACCCATGCTTTCTTCTAAGAGTCTTACCGCTGTCCCGTCTCCATGCCTCCTTCCTGCTATGGTGGCTCAGATGTGTTTTCCTCTTCAGGGTGGAAATATCTACCGGCTCCCCCATCCGATGAAGGAGGAGAACGTGGCAGATGGATGGTAAGCTCAGAAGCCACTCCTCCGCCGTGCCTGGGGGGCGCTCAGCCCCTCAGATTCCTCTGGTGGCCTTTGTGTGCTGGCCCCGGGTCACCCAGTTCTGGAAGCGTCAGTCCCGAAGAGGTACACACCCGGCCGTGAGGCGCTGCGGTGTGGTGTCCTCTCTCCAGTTCTTAGGGTTCATCGAGAGTTGTACCAGTGGATCAGATTTAAAACCAAAAAAAAAAGAAAAACATTAATGATGGGGACGGAGCCCCGTTCTCGCGTTCTTCCGTCCTGCCGTGTTTCCCCACAGTAGCCAGCAAAACGGGGGCCCTGCAGACTGGGCAGAGCCAAGGAGCACTTACGTCTGCAAGAACTGCAGCCAGATGTTTTATACAGAGAAGGGGCTGAGCAGCCGCATGTGTTTCCGCAGCGACCAGTGGCCGTCACCTCGAGGGCAGCAGGAGCAGCAGGTGAAGGGCGCGCACCGTGCCTTCGGGGTTTCGGGCGGGCGCTCCGTCGTGGGCGACTGGATGGCATCTACTCCGGGATGGAGATGCACCCGAGTGGAGTCTGGGCACAGGGGGAGGGCAGGAGCCGGGCCGAGCTGCCCGTTCACTCCTGCCGACCGTTCGTCTTAAAGAGCCATCTATTGTCCGCATCCAGGAGTTTGGCGCGGAGTTTTGCCCACCACTGAGACAGGTGCCAAGGCCGGAGGGTGACGGGCAGAGTCCCCCAGGAGCCAACAAGTCCCTGGACAGCCCCGCCGCGGCCCCTTTGGCGGTCCCCGCGTCGCTGCCCGCAGCTCCAGTGAACCGACCCGCCGGGAGCACCGCCAAGGTGGGTGCCGGTCAGTCCGCCCGCTTCCTTCCCGCTGCTTCCCTCCCCCCTTGCCGGCGGGGGCCGCGGGGAAAGCCCGAACCAAACGTCAAGAGAAACCTGGGTCGAGGAGAGCTCGCTTTGCACGGTCGTTCGGCCGTGCACATCCCCCGAGCCTCCTCTGTGCCAGCCCGCGCCTGCACGGCTGCAGACTGTGGTGACCAGGACGGGCTCCCAGCCTGGCGAAGGAGCAGGGCTGTCCCCGGACATTTATTAACGCGACCAGCAGTGAGCTGAGCTGGAGAGGGTGAGAGGGGCCAAGGGAGCTGAGGGCGTCTTGAGGGGGGCAACGGGAGCTCACTGAGGAGGTCAGGGGTCAGGCTGAGCTCCGGCGGGGAGGGGGCAGAAGACTGGCAGAGGGGAGGGGAGAGTGTGGAAGGTGGGAGAGAGCATCGCAAGTCCGGGTGACCCGTCTCTTCAGCCTGACCTGGAGGACCCACTGGAGAAGTCCCTGCCGGGCTCAGGGACGAGGTGCGTGGATGCCACTGCTCATCCCCCGGGAGCTGTTGCCACTGCCATTTTGTCACTTTGTCATGCCGTTGCACTGTCTCGGCCCCCCCCCCCCCAGGCCCCCACTGTAAGAGCCAGGCATTGGAACAACTGGAGCTGGCCTCACCTGGTTCCAAATTCCTCTGAGTCAGGGCCTCTCCTTGAGGGCTCCAGGCTCGGTTAGGATCTGGGCCCTGGCTCGGGCGTGGTGGCCCTGCTCGCCTCCCTTTTCTGGGGGCTCGGGGTCACGGGTCATACTCCCCTCTGGCTCCGGGGTCCGTATTCTCGTCCCATCTCCCGCGCTCCCGAAGACGGAGCTGTGCAGCAGGTGGCCTCGCGTGAGCCCCTGTGATTGTGAGCTCTCCTCTTCCCCAGGGACAAGAGAAAGACGGGGAAGACAGAGACAGCAAGGAGAGCAGCCAACACAGGAAGCGGAAGAAGCGCCCCCAGCCCAAGGCCTTGTTCGTGCCTCCTCCACCCTCGTCGCCGTCGCCCGGAGAGCCGGGCCTGGGAGGATGCCACCAGAGCTGCCTGCGGTCTCCGGTGTTCCTGGTGGACCGCCTCCTGAAGGGACTATTCCAGTGCTCTCCGTATACGCCGCCCCCAATGCTCAGCCCCATCCGGGAGGGCTCTGGGCTCTATTTCAACACCCTCTGCTCCACCTCTGCTCACGCCGGGCCCGACAAACTCATCAGCAGCATGCTTGGTGAGTGAGGCTGGGCGCCGTGATCTCTGCTCAGCGCGCGGCGGGCCTGCTGCGGGCCAGACCCTCTTCTCTTGTCGCATTTCGCCCAGAGATTCTCTCCGGCCTGTGGCCGTGTCTGGTCTGCGAGTCCCATTGCTGTCCGGAAGCGTCCCGGGACCATCTGGGACCAGCAGCCTTCTAGGTGCTTAGAATTTTACAGCCAGAAAGAAAATAGAGAGTCCGTTTAGCCTGACCACCATTCTGCCTGCCCTTTGAGTGATTTTTGACAGTTTTACTAAGATCTAATTCACGTACCATATGAATGACCCATTTAGAGTATATGGTCTTTTTTAGTTTATTCACAGGGTTGTGTGCCCATCACATGATCTAATTTTAGAGCGTTTTTTAACACCCCCAGAAGCACCGTATCCATGCAGTCACCCCCCGCCCCCGATAGCCCCCACCTCCCCAGCCCTGAGCAACCGCTAACCTACTTTTTCTCTCTACGGATCTGCCCGGTCCGGATATTTTGTGTAATTGGAATCATACAGTAGGTGACATTCTGTGTCTAGTTCATTCACTTGGCATCCATGTGCATCCATGTTATCATACGTATCAGTGCTTCATCCCTTTTTATGGCCAAATAATCCCATTGTCTGGACACACTCCATTTTATTTACCCATTCGTCAGTTGACGGGCACTTGGGTTGTTTCTGTCTTTTGGCTTCTGTGAATAACGTTGCTCATGAACATTCATGTACAGGTTATTGTTGGACCTGTGTTTTCATCTCTCTTGGGTGTATGCCTAGGAATGCAGTTGTGGGTCATAGAGTTAGCTCTATGTGTAACCATTTAAGGAGCTACTGGACTGTTTTCCAAAATGACAGAACCATTTTAAATTTCCGCCAGCATTGTATGAAAGTTCCGGTTTCTCCACATCCTTGTCAACCCTTGCAACCTTTTTTTTCTTACGTAACCATCCTAGTGTGTGTGTAAAGTGGTTTTGATCTGCATTTCCCTGATGGCCAATGAGACTGAGCATCTTTCTATGTGCTTACTGTCCATTTGTAATCTTTTCAGATCCTTTGCCCAGTTTTTGAATTGCGTTGTTATCTTTTTATTACTGACTCGTAAAAGTTTCTTTTGTATTCTGGAATTAACCCCTTTATCAGATATACAGTTTGCAAATTCTCTCCTATTGTGTGCCGTCTTTTTATTTGTGGTCTTGTTTGCAGTACTAAAGTTTTAAATTTTGATGAAGTCCAATTTGTTCTTTGTCCCTTGTGCTTTTGATGTTGTAGCTAAGGTTTTGCCTAACCAAAGGTCACAAAGATTTACTTCTGTGTTTTCTTGTGAGTTTTATTATTTTAAGTCTTAAATTTGTTTGTGACCCATTTTAAGTTAACTTTTATATACCGTATAAGGTGGAAGTCCAAATTCATTCTTTTGCATTTGGGTATCACTTGTTCTAACACCATTTGTTGAAAAGACTATTCTTTTCCTGTTGAATTAGCATGGCACCCTGTGGAAAACCAATTGGCCATAAATGTTTTGAGATTTTTCTTCTTTTTTAATACAGACATTTATAGCTATAAACTTCTCTCAGAGCACTGTTGTAGGTACATTTCGTAAGTTTTAGTATGTTTTATTCTGATTTTCATGTATCTCAAAAAGTATTTTCTAGTTTCTCTTTTATTAATTTTTTTTGATAACACTGATTAAGGCGTGCATTGGTTAATTTCCACATATTTGTGAATTTTCCAAATTGCCTGTTTTAAACTGATTTTGAATTTAATTCTGTTGTGATCAGACAACATATTTTGTATTCAGTGCTTTTAAGTTTTTTGAAAGGTTTTTATGGGCTGGAATGTGTTCTCCCCTGGAGAATGTTCCATGTGTACTTAAGAAGAGTATATTCTCTTGATGGCGGGTGGAATGCATTGTAGATGTCTGCAATGTGTAGTTACTCTAAGTATTCTACTTCCTGTTATCTTGTGCCCAATTGTCCTATCCATTATTGAAAGCATTGAAATCTCCAAGTATTATTTTTTAATTGTCTGTTTTATCCTTCAATTCTGTCAATTGTTGCTTTCTGTGTTTATGGACTCTGTTTTTAGGTGCATTTATGTTTATATAATTGCCGTATTTTCCTGATGGCTTGAACTTTTATTATGATATCATTTACCATCGTTGTGATAACGTTATCATTATCTCTAGTAATATTTTTTCTTTTAAAGTCTAATTTGCCTGACATTAGTGTAGCCATTCCATCTCTTTTATGGTTGTTGTTTGCTTGGTATATTCCTTCCTGTTCTTTTACTTTCAGCCTGTTTGTGTCTTTGAAAATAAAGCGTGTCTCCTACAGACAGCATTGGTTGGATGATGTATTTTTTTTAATCCAGTCTGACAAACTACCTTTGGTTTGGTTTGTTTAAGCATTCTCATTTAATGTTATATTGATACGGTTGGATTTGCATATGCCATTTTGCTTTTTATTTTCTATTTGGCTCATGTCATTTTCTCCTTCTGTTCCTTATCTGCTTTCTTTTGTACTAAATGAATATTTTCTTGTATAACCTGTCAATTCCTTTAATTAATTTTTCACTTTTTCTTAGTCATTTTTTAGGAGTTGCTCTAGGATTTAAAACATACATCTTAATCTGTCAGAGTGTGTTTAGTTGTGTATTAATTTATTAGTATATTAATAAAATATAGAAACATTGCTATCTAGTTCCGTTCCTTTTAACCTTTTGCTATTGTTGTTTTGTGTATACATATATACATATATATGTGTATGTATATATATATATATTTTTTTTTTTTGCATGTATGTATTATATGTATCTATCTATATATTAGAAACCCAGAAATAGGGGTGCCTGGGTGGCTCAGTCGGTTAAGTGTCCGACTTGGTTTCATCTCAGGTCATGATCTCATGGTTCATGAATTCAAGCCCCACATTGGGTTCTGCACTGGTGGCATGGAGCCTGCTGGGGATTCTCTCTCTCTCTCTCTCTCTCTCTCTCTCTCTCTCTCTCTCTCTCTCTCTCTCTCTCTCTCTCTCTCTCTTTCTCTCTCTCTCTTTCTCTTTCTCTGTCCCTCCCTCACTCATGCTCACATGCTCTCTCAAAATAAACATTAGGAAAAAAGAAACCCAGAAATATATTTTCATCGTTATCACTTTATATAATTTTGTTACGTGAAAAAAGATAATAGAGGAAAACAGGCATTATTTATAGAGTTTGTTATATCAACCTTCTTATTTACAAATAACTTCATTTATTCCTGTGGATTCAGGTTACCATCTGGGTATTATTTCTTTTTTCCAATGCAACTCCTTTGTCCTATTATTGTCACATATAGTGCATTTTTCTATACTATAGGCCCACAATACATATTGTTTTATGTCATTGCTTTTTAAGTCAATTAAGAGAAGAAATATGTGATTATACTTTTATAATTACCATATTATTACCTTTATCAGCACCCTTTGTTTTTTTGTTG